CCTCCTCCTCCTCCTCCTCCTCCTCCTCCTCCTCCTCCTCCTCCTCACCTTCCCTACCTCCCCACCGTCCAACCCCCCTCCTCTTCCTGCCCCATATTCCGCCTCCTCGCCTCTGGGCCTGGGTCTGGGGTCCAAAACTATCCCCCGGATCCGTGCAGGGCTACCCTTCGACCCACATTTCGAAGGGGGAGCCAGCCCGCCAGCAACTGCAAGAACGCTCGACAGAACTATCGACCCTCAAAATTTCGCCCCTCCCCGCCCCTACCCCTCGAGGGTGGACCTGCCTGCTCCCTTGGGCCACTGTCGGGCGCGGTGGGAGGCCGCGAGAGCGTGCGGGCGAGGCCTGAATCTCGCTGCGCAGCGCGGCGGCCTCCGCCAGGCACCCTGAGGGCGCGGCGGGCGCAAGGGGAAGCGCCGCGTGCTCGACCGTGGGTGCCCTCTGCTGACCCCACCGGCCGTCGGCGGCGTCGCCGACCGTCGGCGGTCCTGGGCGGCCTCTGGCAAACCTTGCGCGCGACGGCCGGAGGACTGCGTGTCGCTCGGAGTCCACGGCCGAATACCCCGGTGCGGGAGGGAGGGGTGGAGCGAGGAGCAAGAGGGTCATCGCAGGCCTTCGGCAACGTTCGGATGCGTTCGACGCGTGCTTCTGACCCTTTCAGTCGCTTGCCTGCTTGCCAGCATCGGCCCCAACAAGCAGGCGTGTGCACTCTCGATGTGCAGTGTTGCTAGATACGTAGTGTAGGCTGTTGTGGGAAGAGCTACGTGGTACGCGATATATGTGTGTTTTTGGTGCCCAGCCGTGGCGTCTTGTGTCGCCGCACCGCGGCCGAAGGCACAGGCCAGAATCAGAAGTGCGCCAGGGGACGACATGCCCTGGCACCTGTGCAGCCACCTCGGCTCAAAGCCAAGCTGGCGAGGACTAGCTTGAGAGCTATGGCCCACCGGACGCGCGATTCCCTCGAAACACGCGCCAGCCAGCATGGCACATCCCCCTCGGAATGCGACAAATGTCCTGCGCAGGCCAGGCTATAGAGCCCACCGTGAAAGTAAATACTTCCCAGCACCTGCGCTACACCAGTCACGGCTGGATGACGCCTTACCCCGGGCCAGGCTCAAACAATCTGGACACACTGGAGCCCAAGCAAGCAACGCACCAGGCCGCCACCTGCCAGATAAGCTTCAAGAGGCAGGGGCTGTAGGCAGCAAGAATGCCCGATCGTGAAAAGAATAACCGTTGACGTTGACGCCAAGCTCCTGTCGGAGCTTAGCACCCCTTGCGGTGGAGGAGCGGGGACATGTGGTCTCAAACAGCTACGGCGCGCCACCACACCCTTCCTGGTACCAAAACACATACCCAATTCACAAGTACAATGAGATGATGAGTTTTGGGTGCCCAGCCGCGGTGCCTTGTGTCGCCGCACCACGGCCGAAGGCACAGGCCAAAATCAGAAGTCTACCGAGAGACGAGATGCCGTGGCACCTGTGCAGCCACCTCGGTTCAAGAGCCAAGCTGGCGAGGTCTAGCTCAGGAGCGGTGGCCCACCAGACGCGCGACCTCCTCGAAACACGCGCAAGTCAGCATGGCACATCCCTCCAGAATGCGACACATGCCCAAACCACCCCCGGCGAGACCGGTGCGGCACACCAACCCAAACTGAAGTCAGTTGGGGGCCTGGCGAATGACATTCGGCAGGACGCTAACGGCTCTAGCCAAAGAAGCTCGCCCCCACTCGGGAAGCAAACACTGGGCAATGTCAGCCCCATCCGGGTAGATCCATAGCCTAGCCGTTTGGGAATCTTGCCTCTGGCCCATGGTCTGTGTGAAGTCGCAAGAACTGGAACGGAGGAAATGCCACGTCGCTCCGCCTCTCCGCAGACACTACGGTGCGATACTCGAATGTGCCAAACCGACAGCACCCGCCACATCGCGAAGCTTTGGGTTGAAAAGGCGACAGCCACCTGGAAATAACAAGAAGGTGGGAGATAGATCAAAAACGATTTTCCGCAGTTCGACGATGGTCGCGTCCTCGATGGAAGCCGTCTCGGTCTGGCCATGGCGGTGTGCCCCTTCGCTGTCAGGTAATTGCAAAATCACCTTGCGGCCCGAATACAGGAACAAAACGTGATTTCGAGTCAAACTGCAGGTCTCACCTTTTGCGGAAAAGGGCAACGAAGCCCAAGGAGGAGGACACAAGCAAATGGAGCCCAACCTATAACCAATGCAACGGCAGCCATGCCTTGAACAAAGTCGTAGTAGGAATTGGCCCATAGACCCCCAAAAAAACATCGTGACGTAGTACAGCACTGCGAATAAAGTCGTTGGGTGCCACAGCAGAAATCGCTCGCCCGGCCGAGCGGGCAATCATCTTAATACAAGTGGTTGATGAATTCGCTGGCCAACGTGTCCAACTCGCCAAAAGACGCAGGCAACCCAGGAAGAGAAGGCCCAGGAAAGCGAAGAAGCGAAAAATAATGATGCGGTACATTCGAATCGCAGTGGACTGCAAATGGTCGACCTTGTGGTGCGTCACTTGGGGACGAATACGGGGCTTCATGTCCGAGCTCATGGCACTCTGTGCAGACGGCTGGCTGCATCGGCGTGGCTCCAACCACTGGTCGTCCACAAAGTGAACACGTAAATGTTCACCGCCACTACCAAAGCAGCAAAACGACGGAGGGGCCCATTGTGAAACTTGGCACTGGACCATCTTTTTGCCGCAAGTGCAGCCGCAACTTCACTGTCAAAGATAAAAGAATCGCATGCCATGCAATGCGCTAGACTTCGCGCAAGTGGGAACCTGAATCAAGAAAGCGATGCATTCGAGAACTTTGATGTGCTGCCGATGCGCCCCAAAACGCCAGACAAAAGCCGGGTAAAGAAAAGCCCGTCGGCAACCATCCGAGAGGGCTTGCGTGGCCAACCACGCGTGTGATCCTCGGTAGTCACCATGGCATTGGAGCTTAAGTGCTGCATGTCCTTACCCTGCCGCACGTTCTGAATCATGGATACGAGCTCGGGCGCGACCTCCGAAAGGACGTCCATTTTGCCGAGGCGCTGGCCTCGGGGCCCCCAACATCCAAGGTGCTCGTGAAGGGAGGGGGCGAACGGCCGCACGGTACTACGCAGGTCGGCGAGCGCAAGGCGCTTCGCCTCAATGCACTGCACGACATGTTGAGCTGGAGCTCCATGGAGTCTCGCTGGACATCGCTGCGCAAGACCAACTCGCATGCGCCGTGCAACGGGGATGGCAAAGCGCACGACGCAACGCAGGACAGTTTCGGAACAAGGCGAGCTGTTCGCGACGAGGGCATCAATGACAGCACGCCCAGAGGACCGCAAATAGACCTGAAACAACCTGGACAACTCAACTGCTTCGGGAACATCCACCCCCAGCCCTCAAACGAGCGCGCGATACCGCAGAAACCCTTGTTGAGCACTCCCCAGCTGAGCCTGTCCAGCGCGAGGGCGCGCCTGGCACCCGACCTCTCGGCGCGCCCGGAGCTGCGACATGCCTAGCGGGCGCGCCGGCGCGCCGTCGAACGGACAAGGCGCCTCCGGGCTCGCTCCAGGAGACTCACTGGAAGGCCCCCGTGTTCGCCGCCCGCGTCGGCCCCAGCAAATCTAGCTGACCTCTCGCGCCCCACGTCCCTGCAAGAGTCGCAGGCGGCGCCCCTTCTGGCCGCCACAGGGCGCATGTACTGCAACACCTATAGAGGCAGCAGCCCAAGCCAAAGGGGCCCTCGCCCCCGCGATGCCTTCAACGAAACGGATGCCGACACTCCCACGACCAGGGCAGGACGACCCATCCGCCAGGAGGCAGCGAAACGAGCACAAACACAGAGGACACACGTTTGAGCACGGCGCCCATCTCCCGAAACTCGGGAACGAGGAACGGCACGAGGAGTTGCAGGTGCCGCAGCACAGAGCTCGGGGCACGCCGAGCCCATGGCCGCTCTCCTCCGCTCGCATCGCTACCCAAGCGTCGCGCTGCCGGTCGCGTTGTCCAGACACCGAGCCAGCCCACGAAGGCGGCGGTATCAGCAGAATCCCCGCCTTCCTCGGCAGCGCCGCTGTCACTTATCGCGCGCCAGATTTCGGCGCGGAGGTCAGCGAAGGCCGGGGGGGGGGCGAGGTCCCCGCGAGAACGTCGGCCACGACGGCGCCTCCTGAACACGGGGCAAGACTTCGACCACCGCCGGCCCGACAGATGCCCCGAAAGAGCTCCTGCAACATTGAGAATGAAAGCCGTCGGAACTGGCCCGAGAAGCAAAGCGAGCCCGCCCGACGCCGCAAGCAAGCGCCAGACCAGGGCGGAAGACCGAACACTGCGACGGTCCTCCAGAACAACTTCGCGCTTCCGCCCCTGCAGCGGGGTAGCCGGCCCTCGGGGCCGCCCAGGTCTCCACCCGAAATCACTAACGCCCCTCAGGGCGCGCAAGACTGTCTTTCCGACGTCCAAAGGATCGTTCACAAGCGGATTGCCATCGTCGACGATTGCCTCTACCGGAGCGCTCGACGAAGCGAGGTCGAGGCCGTCACGAGCCGCGGCCGCCTGGGCGTCGACGTGCTCGGCCACGCCCGCCCAGGGAAGACGCGTCGATCACGTCCAACGCGTCGCTCAGGTCCTTTACCTTCTCAGAAGAATCGAACCCGCCCATGCAAACGATTGACATGTCATTCTCGGGCACTGGCCTGGATATCAGCAGCTCGGTTTCCAGCGGCTTAGACGATCTGGAGAAAACAACCCTGCGAGCCACATCTTGCACGAGGTCGAAGGCCACCATCGAGTCCTCTGGAACCGCCCGCGCGCAGACATACGAAGTAGCGCGCGCTGGACCACCGAACACGCAGGAGGGGAAATTCTGGAGAACGCAAAGTAGCCGCCCCAACACCTGGGCATATAGAGAAGACGCCAAATAAAGCAGGACCCCATGTCCTCGGAATAGAAAAGGACGCGCCCCCATCATCCAAGACCGCCAAAGATAGCTGCGCTAGGACAATCAAGTTCGAACTACCACCTCGCAGACGCCGCGTGCAAACGTTCACCGGGAACATGCAGATAAACCTTCAATTATACTTCCGCACCGCGTGCACTACCTTGAACTAGTCCATGCCCATGGCCCAATTCAAGATTGGATGCCCAGGAGGGTCTCAGAAAATATCGCTTTCGGCAACCTCGCCAAGCATGCCTCGCACGACACCTGCCTTCACCATGGAATACCACTGCTCGTCGCTGGATAACACCTTGGACCTAGGGGGTGCCTACGGGCAAGAGGCACCAGCGCGGATCGGACAAATCGCCCCAAACCTCCTCGGAAACGAACTGGGCGACTGGCAACAAGCAAGCTTCCCGATCTGGGGCCACATGGGGATAATCTTGTCGCCCTCGAGTGCACGCTTAGAGGAGACTACCTGGCCAGCCTCCTCCTCCTGCTCTTCGGATCCGCGACAGGGCAAGGGGGAACCCGCAGGAATTTTCTGAAAAAAATGGTCGTGGTAACAAGAATGAGGAGAAGCATAAACGAGAGGCCCAAGACGGCCTCTAGTTGGCCTCGACACGGCATTCGCTCTCAATGATCCTGATATGATCCGCCACCGTGCCTTCACTTCAGCACTTTTGGCGTGTCGCAAGGCTCATACCGATGAGAGTGTTACAGGGATTCTGAGCTTTAGGGGCTTGGACCACCAACTTGCCAAAACTATTGGGCGCTTTGGGGGCGTACCATGTGGGCCAGAAGCCAAACCTGCCCGAACCTACTCCGATATCCCCCAAGAGCACTCCAACAGAAAGCCTTAGGAAACCTCGGTAGTCCCAAGGAAGCGTCCTGGGGCTCTCCGAGGTGCCTCTTGGCCGTCTGGGAGGCCCTGAGGGGCCAAGAGGCCAAAAGCATTGATAACCAAAAGTTGTTGCATGATCCTCGCATGCGACTGGGTCCTGTCGTGGCGACTCGTGCGTCAGTTTTGGGCACTTTATTGACCGCGGCTCTCCGATGGCGCACTAGCAGCCTTCAACCTTGCACGACCGCGCTGAAGTCGACGCCGTGCCGACACGACACAAACGGGCCGTACTCAGCTCTTTCGCTTCGAGCGTCCGAGACGGCCCCTACGAGGCCTCGAAGTGCCCACCAAGAGAGCTCCCAAGGCCCCCAAGGGGGGCCCACGAGGCATTCAGGAAGGGCCGCTCGGTGGCCCTGCAACCGCCAGTGCCGCCTCAGGGCCCCCCAAGAGGCCCCCACGACTCGGGCACGGCCGAGGGGGGCTGCATGTTTGAGATGCTTCAAAGGCGAGCATGAGAGCCTTCGGGCTCCCTCGGACGGCGATCCGCCGCTGCGGGAGGCCCCCTGCACGGGGACCCCAGGATGGTCCCAAGACAGGCGGTGCACCCCCCGAGATGGTGCAACAACGGTCCAAGACTCCCAAGATGGCCCAAAGGTGGCCAAATGCTCCCAATACTGGTCCAATGACACGCCAAGACAGCGCGACAACGGCCCCAAGACTTGCCCAGGAGAACTCCAAGGCGGTGGCCAACACGCCCCCAAGATGCCCCCCGGAAGGCCGCAACCGCAAGGCCTCCGATACTGACCTAGAATCGGGGGCTGCAGCACGGGCGGATTTAGCTTGGGAAAGGTGGCATTACTTGTATCCTCGGGCCCTTGTCACACAGCTGCTAGAAAACGCTCAAGGACGGAAAAGAGTAGCACCCCCTGAGGCTAGTCGCGCCTGCCGCGGCCTCCGACCCCAAGACCGCCTCAACGGCCAGACTGCCACGAGAGGGCTCCAGAATTAGGTAAGGCCTGTCCCCGTACAGGCTAACTGTTGGCGAAAACACAGAAATACACACAAAAAAAAAACGAAATGGTTAAAAATTATCGGAAAATCGTCCCAAGACTATTTGTTGATTATGTTTTGAGATTCCTCGTGTAGAGGGACATGCCCGACTGAACTCCAGAGCCATCGCGAGGCCCCTCGAAGAGGCATCGCGACAACCATCAGGAGGCGGAACCTGCCAGCGACAGAGACTTGCAGAGTTGGGAGGGGAGAAGGAGGAGATGGGGGGAGGGGGAGGAGGAGGAGGAGGAGGAGGAGGAGGAGGAGGAGCAGGGGGAGGAGGAGGAGGACGAGGAGCATGAGGAGTACCTCGCAAGGGGACGGGGGCTAACCTCCACATCTCGCGGGGGACGGACCCCACGGCCCATGTGAGCACCACACCGGGCATGGGCAAAAATTATGTTGCTCCCATCGTCCTTAAGGACCATATCCCGGAAAGAATTTCGAACATCCATACAAGTATTGAATCAGTGTCGAACGAGCATCGCATTCCAGGGCCCGACACCTGAAAACCCTGAATTGTCGGTACTTTCTTGGTGATCGAAATTCTGGTGGTCAAGGCTACAGTAGGTTGGAACATCATAGTGCAAGATACGAGGCGGTGCGATTGTGCTGGGAGGGGGTGGGAAGCCGCGGCTTGACAGGCGCAAGCCACGATCCAGGCGAAAACATGGTCATCTCAAGTATTGCCTCGCGCCTAAAACTACCGAATCCATTCAGCAGGGGGTCTGTCCATCTCACACAATAATGTACACAGAATTGTATGCAGAGAGGGGGCCGATGGGGAGGTGGGAGACTGATGAGGGGGAAACCTTCCTGCTCCTTTACTTTTTCGCTGCCTCCCACTTATAAAAGGATGAGATCCTGTGCATGTGCCGTGGGCAAGTGTGCAAGGCTGCCGTAAGCTCAAGAACATGCCAGAGTGGCGACCATGGTGGAGGTGCTGGTGGAAATAGAAAAGGAGGGTGTTAGGACCGAACTGTCCAAGCAAACGAAAGTAACGGCGTTACCTTTTGCACATGCAGTTTGCATATACGCGGCAAATCATTAGATGCTCTGCGCATGGTTCTAAATGTTTTGAAAAGTGTTGTACATGTCTATGGTGAAGGGGCCCTGGGACACACAAATACATACACACAAATAACAGCATTCCCCATATTTTCCCATATTTTCTGGGTTTGCGTCTTCCCCCCCACTTCCCATATTTTCCCATATCCTGGGGATCGACGATTAATTGTGTCTGTGTGTTTTCCCCTCCTGATGGGTGGACAAACCTCGCACTTCGGACACCCAAGTGGCGCGGCTCGACTTCAAACGTGAGGTTCGCTTTGAGATAACTCCGCGGCCGTGCAGGCCATGGCGAGCAGCCATCCTTCTTCTTAACCGTACCGAGTACGACAAACGTGCATGCAATATCTACGTGGAATGTGCAGCTCTTGTATTTGTGTATCCCGACCCACTTGACCTCACCCCCGATTTCGACAAGAGTGCAGGTACAACTGGTGGGTTCGAGACAGCAAATTCGAGCAAGTCCCTTGCCTTTGTGAGTACTCATGCAGTGTAAACTTGTTTTCCTTGACCCTCTCCTCCTCCTCCTCCTCCTCCTCCTCCTCCTCCTCCTCCTCCTCCTCCTCCTCCTCCTCCTCCTCCTCCTCCTCCTCCTCCTCCGCCTCCTCCCCCTTTCCCCTCTCCCCCTCCTCCCCCTTCTGGGTGCTCGAAATTACATCTGGGATATGGTCCTTAAGTACGATGGGAGCAACATAAATCTTGCCCATGCCCGGTGTGGTGCTCACATGGGCCGTGAGGTCTGTCCCCCGCGAGATGTGGAGATTCGCCCCCGTCCCCCTGCAAGGCACTCCTCCTCCTCCGCCTCCCCCTCCTCCCCCTCCTCCTCCTCCTCCTCCTCCCCCTCCTCCCCCTCTCCTCCTCCCCCTCCTCCTCCTCCACCCATCGATTCGAAAGGAACCTCACGATAAGGTCGCGATCGACGCGCGGAGCGCGAGGCAGGCCGCCGGGTCCTCCCCTCAACACACGATGGCGCCCTCGGCACGGCGCCTGCACTTGACGGCGAGCCACCGGCTGGGCACATGTGGGAAGCTGGGCGAGGGCTGGCAAATCCGTGGCTGCTAAAACGCTCTTCCCGGAAGAAGAAAACAAATTCCCGGAGTCAAGCTCGGCGCACTGAACAGCAAACGGGCTGCTTCCCGGAAGAACCAAAAACAATTTCCCAGAGCTCCGTTCTAGCAGCCACGGGTTTGCCAGCCTTCGCCTGGCTTTTTTTTCTGAACATAGGGCCCGAAGAGGATTGAATCCAGTGGAGGCCAGACCACAAGAAACCTTCCACAAGAAACCCAGCCCTGAGACCCCAGGACACCCATTGATTTCTGGTGTGGGAACGTCCCGATCCCCATAGCAAAACTATCGAAACCCAAGAAGCCCAAGGCACCCTGGAGGCAAGCTGGGTTTTTCTTAGCATGGACCTCCACTGTAATCGATGAGAGGCTGGTCGGCGGGACCATTTTTGGGACGGAAAGTCGACGTCGACTACAACCGTCGCCTGCAATGCTTTCTTACTCGCATCTCGATTGTCGCATCTGTGTCCGCAGCTTGGATCCGTATCTCGGGGATCGCGTCCGGCACAGGTGGGCTCACACCTAGTTACGCGAGTCTTGTAAGAATTTGCGACATGAATTCCAAACGTTTGGCGCATATGTTCTTAAGCCTGAAAGAATCGGTCGATATATTAGCTGGAGACCAATACGGTAAGCAACTAAACAAAAACGATATCCACGTGACTACACCGCGCCCGGGGTAGTCGACGCCACGCGTGAAGTACAGACTTGACGTGGGTCCGAACAGGCACGGTAGGTAAAGGTGAAAAAAGAGAGGCGGAGTGATCTCAGAGGGTGACCAGGGTCCACCGTTCATGGCATACTGACAGCAAACGAAAAGCTCGAAGCTCGCCTGCGACGACAACGACGACGACAACGACCCCAGGACCCGTCCTGGGCGCAGTCTGACAAGCAACCGAAGCGGATCCAGTCGTAGCAAAGAGAGCGCCCAAGGATGCACACAAAGGCCCAAGAATGCTGCAAGACTTCGACACTGACGACGACGACGACGACGACGACGACGACGACGAAGGACGGGGAGTAGGCGATCGATGCTTCATCCACGCCCAGAGTCCTATGAGGGGCCAGAGTAGGACCATGGATAAAAAACAAATGCATACATCTACAAGCCTGGCGTTTTTCATCCCATGCCCTACCCCGTGGGCTCGCAGAGATGGAGGCAGCAGCAGAGGCGCTGACAAGGCGCCCATCGCCAGGAGATCTGACGAGAGGGAGCACTCGTGCTCCCGACGGCAAGCGAGCGGAGTGAAGGGTCATTTGTGATGCCCATTGGCCGTCGGTCTCCCGCTTGAGCTCGTCGGCCTGCGCTCGGGGCCAAGACCTCCTCGCCTCCATGAGCCCGTCCCCCTCACTTACCCTCCCTATCGCCTTCTTCACTCCTCCCCCTTCTCCCCCACCTCCTTGTCCCATCTCTACCCTTGTCCCTTCCTTCCTCCCCCTCCTCCTCACCTCCATGAGCCCCTCCCAATCTCCCTCTCTCTTACCCCGTTCTCATCCCCCAGTTACACATCCTGGCTACTACTCTCCTCTACCCTGACCATGAGCGGAAGATGGTCGGCACTCTCCGCATAGTTTTGCGTACATGCCGGATGTCAGAAGTTGATGCTTCCCATACGATTGTGTACAATACCATTGCTTCGGTGTGTCCAAATGGTGTTCCCGCTGCAGCGTGGGTCTCATTGTCGGATCGGTACTGTGCTCGAGTCGCTCCGAACGGCGCCCTCACCCCAACTCGTGCCACGTTTCTGGATACGGGTCATTCTTTCATCGTTGTCGGCACCCCTTTTCCCCATCCTTCGCATTATCCTGGTCCTCGACCCCTCCCACGTCAGTTCATGTGGCTGTTACTCTTCCTCGTCCTGCGCCTTCCTCATCCTCCTCCTGTTCCTCCTGCTCATCCTTCTGCTCACCCGCCACATCCTCCTCATACGTAGGCAGCGTCCCATTTTCCCATCGTCCAGGAGTTGCAGGTCGGTTATGACACGCGTCCGCGGATAGAAAAAAAAACAGCGCGATAGAAAGGGATGGGAGGGAAGTAGGGAGGGATAGGATGTCCGATATGTGACGAGCGCACCTCCCTGTCGCAGCACATGGCCTCATAATGCATGCATCGCGCATTGTGTTGGACATGCCATACGTGCTGCAATCATCGGAGCACGCCTAGCGCCAGGGCCTCGGCCTGCTGCATGCCGCCCTCCCCTTCGTCCCCTCATTACGCCCCCATCTCCCCTCATCCCCCTCTTCCTTACCGTCTTCCCCGTGCGACCGTACACCCTTCCTGCTACTCCCTTCTCAATCCTGCCCCCGTTCATCCAACATGCCATTCGACATCCCCCCCCCAACTGCTCTTACTCCCTCCACCTTCTGCCATTTTTCCCTTCTGCCTCCTCGCCACCATCTTCCCCACTGACCGACACCCCTCCTCCTCCTCCCTCATGTCACCTCGCCCTCTCCCCCATCCCCCTTTTCCTCTTCAACCCACCCCTGTTCCCTCCTCCCCATCGTTCGTCTCGTCATCTGCCTCCCAATCCTCCCTGTCTTCCTCCCTCTCTCCCTCTCTCTCGTTCTTTCCATCCCGTCCTCCCTCTCTCTATCTCGCTCTCTCTCCCTCTCTCTTTCTGTATGTCTATCCCTCCCTTTTTCTCTTTGTGTTATATCTCTCTCTTTCTCTTCTTTTCTCTCTCCCTCTCTCTCTCTCTCTCTCTCTTTCTCTCTCTCTCCTTCTCTTCCTCTCTCTAACTCTCTCTCTCTCTCTCTCTCTCTCGCTCTCTTTCACTATATCTCTATATTTCTCTCTCTCTCTCTCTCTCCCTCTCTCTCTCTCTCTCTCTCCCTCTCTCTATCTCTCTCTCTCTCTCTCTCTCCCTCTCTCCCTCTCTCTCCCACTATACACATATACACCTATGTACATACATCTATACACATATGTATACTAGAACCATCGCGCGCGCTTCGCGCGCGCTCAGGTTCTAGCAGGCCCCATACCTTGACGCGGTCACTGCTCCACTGAAGTAGTGGACCACAGATGGTTTGAACGGGAAGTGAAGAAATGCTCATAACGCTGAACGCATTATGGGCCATGCGAAGTCCATGCGTGACAATCCGAATTGCGCAAGGCTTTCGGGGAAGATGGTTGCGTAGGGGGCCAGAGGCCTGATGAATCGGGTTCCCAGAAGGCCTTCTGGGAACATGGGTTTGGGGGAAGCCTGTTGGGGAGCCTGTTGGGGCGTGCCGTAGTCGTTATAATGTCGCCGTCGCCTCTTGAGGCGCGCCGTCGTCGTCGTCGTCGCCGCCGTCGTCGTCGTCGTCGTCCTCGTCTTCGTCGCTTCGTCGTCTTCGACGTCTTCGTCGTCGTCGTCGTCGGTTCAAGAGGGCACTTGGGGCAACGTTGTGCGAAACCATCCGCGGAAGGCCGCGAGAAGGCGATCATGTTCCACGTCAACTTCCCAGACAACTCTCCCGCAGCGCGATGGTACTTCGGAGCCTCCGGAGACTCTCGGGCCCATGATGAACCATGCCCCCGGAAGGCTTTCTGGGGACATGATTTGTTGGGGTGTGTTGGGGGCGTCTTGGGCGTACCCTGGGGGCCCCTTGGGGCTTTCTGGGGGCCTCTTGGGGACCTCACGGGGCTTCGTGGGAGCCTCTTGGTGGCCTCCCGGGGCCTACTGGGGGCCTCTAGTGCCAGAGACTTCGAATTTCGGTTCGCCCCTTGGGCCCCCTCTTGGGGCACACTTGGGTTGTCTGGGGAGCCTCCTGGGCTGTCTTGGGGCCCTCTTCGGAGCCTCGTGGGCTGTCTTGGAGCGCTCTGAAGGGCCTCCGAGGCCGTGAGGGAGCGCTGGAAGGGGGAAAAGCGAGAACGCTAAAATCCGTTAAAAACCATTTAAAAAAATAAATTATCCCAGTGCGACCCTACCTAGGAGTTGGAACCCCTAGGAAAGCAGCATTAGTAGTAAAAGTAACGCTAAGCTAAAGCTAAGCTAAAGCTAAGCTAAAGCTAAGCTAAAGCTAAGCTAAAGCTAAGCTAAGCTAAAGCTAAGCTAAAGCTAAGCTAAAGCTAAGCTAAAGCTAAGCTAAAGCTAAGCTAAAGCTAAGCTACAGCTAAGCTCAAGCTAAGCTAAAGCTAAGCTACAGCTAAGCTAAGCTAAAGCTAAAGCTAAAGCTAAAGCTCCCAGGGGTGACCTGTTTCGGGGCGGGCCTGGGCCGTCTCGGGAGCTCTGGGACCCCCCCAAACCCCCCGGGGGCGCCCTTGGGGGGTAAAGGCAGCGGCCCGCCCCGACCCTGGCCTACTTCGGTATACATATATATATATATATATATGTGTATGTGTGTATGTGTGTATGTGCATATGTATATGTGTGTGTATGTATATAATATATAATATAATGGAAATAGAATATGATATAATAATAAATGGTATAATATAATAGAATAGCATAGAATATAATATATTATCATACCATATACGATAATGTACTATAATATAATATAATCTAATATAATATATAATATAATATCATAAATATAGTATAATATAATATAATACAAAATAATATAATATAATACAATATAATATAATATAATATAATATAATACAATGTAATATAAAATAATATACTATAATATAATATAATATAATATGATATAATATAATATAATACAATATAATATAATATAATATAATATAATATAATATAATATAATATAATATATTATAATATAATATACTATAATATAATATAATAATCTAATATAATAGAACATAATGCCATACAATATGATATAATATACTGTAATATAAAATAATATGAAATATTATAATATACTATAATAAACTATAATAAAATATAATACGGTATGATGTAATATAATATAAAAAATATAATTTAATATAGTACGTATATATACATGTACATATATATCTACATCTACATATACATCTACATATACAAACGCATATACATATACATATGCATATACATACACATATACATATACATATACATCTACATCTACAAATGCATATACATATACATAAACATCACCATATACAAATACAACTGCACATACATACATATACATATGAATAGATATATCAATATATATGTATATATATGAACATATACGCATACAAAAACATATAACTATACATATGCGTATGCATAAACATACATGTAAGCATATACATATACAAATAAATAAACATATACATATACGTGTACATATACATGTACGTATACATATGCATAGGCACCTGCATCTGCATTTACATATACATATACCTACACATACACGTATACGTATACATACACATATCAATTTACATATACAAATGCATATACATATACATATATATATATATATATATACATACATATACACATACAAATACCGATACATATACATCAACATGAACATGTGCATATACATATACCTATACATATACATACACATATGCATATGCATATACATATGCATATACATATACATATACATATACATATACATATACATATACATATACATATACATATACATATACATATACATGTACATATACCTATACAAATACAAATACGTATACGTATACCTATACATCTACATATACACATACATATACGTATATATGTACATTTATATATACATATACATATACATATACCTATATGTACATATATACATACATATATAAACATATACATATACTTGTACACATACATATACAAGTACATATACATATACATATACATATATACATATATACATCTACATATACATATACATATGCATGTATAAATACAAATACATATACATATACATAAACATATACAAATACATGTACATGTACATATGCATCTACATGTACATATGTATGTGCATATGCATATGCATATTCAAATACATATGCGTGCACACATACATATACATATACATATACATATACATATACATATACACATAAATATGCATACGCATATGCATGTACATATACATATATGTATATGTACATGCATATACATAAACATAGATCGACATATCTATATAACCATAATTCGGTGGATATATATAAAAAATGTGTATGCTGATATGTGTCTTGAGATACATATATATATATATATACATATAGTGTATATGTATGTATGTACGTATGTATGTATGTATGTATGTATGTATGTATGTATGTATGTATGTAGGTATGCATGTATATATACACACATATCTATATATAGGGCGTCTTCGAGGCAGTTTGGGAGCCTCTTGGGATCCTCCCGGGGGCCTCCAGAATTCCTCTTGAGCGCCTCCTGGGGGTCTCTTGGGGACCTCTTGGGGGCTTCGTGGGGCCTCCTGGGGACCTCTTGGGGCCTCCTGGGAGCCTCTGGGGCCGAAAGCTCGGAATTTGAATATGGTGTTGCACCTCTGGGTCCCCTCTGGGGCTCATCATGGGGCTTTCTTGGGCGGTTTCTGGGCCCCTCGGGCCGTCTTGGGACCCTCTTGGGTCGTCTTGGAGCCCTCTTGGGAGCCTGCGGGGAAGTCTTGGGGGGCCTCCTGAGCCGTCTAGGACGCTGTGAAAGCCAAAGACGTTTATATGCGGAAAATATACGCTTCCCTTAGGGAATGGAACGAATGTTGCCTCTTAGGGCCCTCCTGGGACCCTCCAGGAGGCCTCTTGGGAGCCTCCTGGGGGTCGTTTGGGGGCCTCTTGGGGGCCTCTTGGGGCCTCCTGGGGACCTCTTGGGGCCTCCTGGGAGCCTCTGGGGCCGAAAGCTCGGAATTTGAATGTGGTTCTGCACCTCTGGGTGCCCTCTGGGGCTCGTCCTGGGGCTCTCTTGGGCTGCCTTTGGAGCCTCTCGGGTCGTCTTGGGACCCTTTTGGGGTCGTCTTGGAGCCCTCTTGGGAGCCTGTAGGGCAGTTTGGGGGGCCTCTTGGGCCGCCTTGGGTGCTGTGAAAGCCAATGAATTATACATGCGAGAAAATATACGCTTCCCTGAAGGGGAAACGAACGAATTCTGCCTCTTGGGGCCCTCCTGGGACCCTCCTGGAGGCCTCTTCGGAGCCTCCTGAGGGTCTCTTGGGGGCCTCGTGGGGCCTCTTGGGAGCCTCTTGGGGCCTCCTGGGAACCTTTTGCCTCCTGGGAGCCTCTGGGGCCGAAAGCTCGGAATTTGAATGTGGTTTTGCACCTCTGGGACCCCTCTGGGACTCGTCCTGAGGCTCTATTGGGCGGTCTTGGGGGCCTCTCGGGCCGTCTTGGGACTCTTTTGGGGTCGTCTTGGAGCCCTCTTGAGAGCCTGTGGGGCAGTTTTGAGACCCCCTTGGGCCGTCTAGGACGCTGTGAAAGCCAAAGATGTACTTATGCGAAAAATCTACGTTACCAGAAGGGAATGGAACGAATTTTGCCTCTTGGGGCCCTCCTGGGGGGCCTCTGAGAGCGTCACAGGAGGCGTCTGGGAGGCCTCTTGGGTGTCTTGGGGGCCATCTTGTGCGTCTCGGAGCGGCCTGTGCGTGTTGGAGCGGCCAGTGGGCGTCGCGGGTCCCTCTTGGCGCGTCGTCGGGCTCTCTTGGCGCTTCTGGTGACGTTTTTGTGGGCCTCTGGGAACCCACAAAGGCCTGCACACACACACACACACACACACACACACACACACACACACACACACACACACACACACACACACACACACACACACACACACACACGCACACGCACACGCACACAAACACACAAACACACTTGTGGTAGAGGTCGCGGCCCCAAGGGGCCCGGGCCCCGGTGCCCTGTTAAACTTATCTATATATATATATATATAAATATATATACATATATATAGATAGATATATATATATATATACATATACATATACATATACATATATGTATATATATACATACAGGACTGCAGTGGCGCTTCGCGCCGTGCACCTTGGTCCTTGAAGTTTGGTATGCCGGCGAAATAGCAAGAAGGTCAAGCCGACAATGTAGCGATAACTCTTTGTTGCCTTTCTGGCATCGCCGCTATAATAATGTTATTCGTTATCCTTTATCCATGCTTATGTTTCCTTATTTTCGCCATACCCTGCGCACACTCCCCATCCTCCTCAGCTCTTTTGCGGAGGCTCCTCCTTGGAGAGCCTCTGGGGGCCTCACGAAAGTTGTTTCAGGTTTTCTTACTATGGAGGCCTCCTGGGCGTATTCTGGGAGCCTCCAGGGGCTTCCTCGGGCCACCCTGCCTCCAACCGCGGTCTCCCTGAACGACCGGGTCACGACTCGGAATGCTTCGGAGGGTGTCTTTGGGCCAGCTTGGGCCGCCATGGGGCTCTCTGAGGGCCATCTTGGACCCGTGTTGTGCCGTTTTGGGGCTCTCTTGGACTGCCTGGAAGCCCTTTCGGATGGTTGCGGGGCGATTTTGGAGCCCCCCAGGCGGCTTCGAACGCACAGAAGACCGCCGTCTTGGAGCGTCGGGAAGCCGAATAGAGGAGAACTGCAGACTTCACCAAAAACCAACAGAAAATCAATGATTTTTGCCTCGGGGGGCCTTCTTGGGAGTGCTCTTGGAGGCCTCTTTAGGGCCGTCCTGGAGGCCTCTTGGGCCATCTTGAGGTCACGTCGGTCACTCTTGGAGCGCTCTTGTGCTGTCTTGGGGGTCTATGGGACGTCTCCGATGACCCTCCTGATCGCCCTAGGTGTGCTGGGAAAGCTTGGCAAAACGCCCTGCGAGGCCCGGGGGCCGCTTCGAGGCCCGCCTGGAGGTTCCCAAAGCCCCAGATCCCGGGAGTCCGGTTTTGGAGGCGGGGACGGGTTTTCCCCCCGCCCGGGCTTGTAAAAATATAGGAAGAGGAGTATATATATATATATATATATATATACATACATACATACATACATACATACATACATGCATGTATGCATACATACATACATAGATACATACATACATAAGTACATATATAGATACATATATGTAAACATATTGTGTGTGTGCGTGTGTGCCCTGTGTTGCATGTGTGTGCCCCGTGTGCATACGTACACATGTCACCTCTCTCTCTCTCGCTGTCTCTCTCCCTCTCCCCCTATCTCTCTCTCTCTCTCTCTCTCTGTCGCTCCTTCTCTATCCCTCCCACTGTCGGGATGTCTGTCACAATCTCTATATCGCTCTCTCTCTCTCTCTCTCTTTTTCTCTCGCTCTCTGTCGTTCTCTCTCTCTCTCTCTTTCGCTTGCTCTCTCTCTCTCTCTCTCTCTCTCTCTTTCTCTCTGTATCTCTCTCTCTCTCTCTCTCTCTGTATATATCCCTCTCACGTTCTCTGCGTAGATATATATATATATATATATGTATACAGATACAGTATGTCAATACATGCCTCTCTCAGATGCTATCATCCTCCTTCCCTCTCCGTCATGAGACCCATCTTCCAAATCCTTCAAGCTGGTTCCCTCCTCCCCATGCTCGACTTGATAGTTACCGCAAGGGGGCCCCATCTAAGCAGCAGCAGCAGCATCATCATGAGAAGCAGCAGCAGCGGTTGCATACTGACCCGCCTCCTCCCTCTTCTTCTCATCAGCATCATCATCATATTTAGCAGCAGCAGCATCAGCAGTAGCATCAGCATCAGCATCAGAATCAGCATCATCATCATCATCAGCAGCAGCATCATCAGATTCATCATCTGCAGCATAAGCAGCATCATCTTCATCATCATAATCGTAATCAGCATCGCCATCATCATCGTCATCATCAGCATCAGCATCGTCATCATAATCGACCACGTAATCGTCACCGTTATCGTCATCATCGTGATTAGCAGCAGCAGCTTCACAGAGAGTATCATCATCCACATCATCGACGTCGTGACCTTCGTCAACATCATCATCAGCATCCTCATCGTTACCGGCATCCTCATCGTCATCATCGACCTCCTCCTCGGCAAAATCGTCGTCCTCGGCATCATCATCACAATGAGCATCCTCCTCCTCCTCACCACCACCACCACCATCATCAGCATCAGCATCAGCATCATCAGCATCATCATCAGCATCATCATCAGCATCAGCATCGTCACCATCAGCATCAGCATCAGCATCAGCATCATCAGCATCATCATCGTCGGAAACGTCATCATCATCAGCATCAGCATCATCGGCATCGTCATCATCATAATCATCATCATCATCATCATCAGCATCATCATCATCATCATCATCATCATCAGCATCAGCATCAGCATCAGCATCAGCATCATCATCGTCATCATCATCATCATCATTATCATCAGAATCAGCATCCTCATCAGTAGCATCAGCAAAATCATCATAATCATCAGCATCATCATCAGCATCAGCCTCAGCATCAGCATCATCATCATCATCATCATCATCATCATCAGCATCAGCATCATCGTCATCGTCATCATCGTCATCCTAATTAGCAGCAGCATCTCCATCAGCAGAATCGCCATCCGCATCCTCAACGTCGTGACCTTCGTCGTCATCGTCATAAGATGCATCATCAGCATCATGTTTGTCGTCATCGTTATCGTCATCCTCATCGTCGTCTTCAGCATGGCCTTCATCATCATCATCATCAGCAGCATCATCATCGCCATCATCATCATCATCATCATCATCATCATCATCATCATCATCGTCATCATCAATATCCCAAACCCATCACCTACATGTCGTGGTCATCGTCAGCAGCATCATCCCCATCTACGTGTAATCAAAATCATCGGCATCATCATGTCCGTCATCAACACCACATCAATACTATCCATTCGACTATCCATTCGTCGCTATCCCTCCCCACTGCCCCCATGGCTGGCCTGCGCGTTCAGGGCCGCGACCTTCTTCCTGGAGGAGGCACCGAACATTCCCCCACTACGGGGCAACTGCCGCCCGCGCGCAACCCGAGTGGCCTTTCGGCCGGGAACCGAAATGGCTGCGGCATCCTCATCCTCCTCATCCTCCTCATCCTCCTCTTCCTCCTCCGTTTCCTTTCCCTACTCATCCTCCTCCTCCTCATCCTCCTCTTCCTCCTACTCCTCCGATTTCCTCACCCGCCATCTACCTCAGTCGTTGGCCTCATCCTCATCAGTTCCTCATCATCACCACCACCTTAATCGTCATCATCGTCTTCGAATCCGCTTACAACTGTATTAAATCCTCCTCCTGCTCCTCCTCTCCTCCTCCCCCTGCTGCTGATCACCCCGCCTTCTCCTCCTCCCTCATCACGCTCCTCTTTCGTGATCCTCATCTTGCTCTTGCGCATCGTGCTCCATCTTGTCATTGTCTTTCTCCTCCTCATCCTCCTCCTCCTCTTCCTCCCTCTCCTCCTCCTCCTCCTCCTCCTCCGCCTCCTCCTCCTCCTCCCCCTCCTCCCCCGCCCCTTCTTTACTCCTGATATTGTTCACTCCTCTTACTCCTCCTCCTCATCCTCCATTATCTTCAGCCATTATGGCCCAAAGTGTTTTGGGTTTGCTGCAGCTGTTTCCCGAGCGGCGCCGCTGCAGCGAGCTAACTTGGCTCGTTCGATGTTGTGTGCGTTCCTGCGGGAGCTGTCTGTCCACCCTCCACGATGGCGCCCGAACCGCACCAACCCTCGGTGCTCCGAGGGCCTCGGCGCCACTTAGGTCATGTGGGAGGTGTTCAGCGGCGGGAAACTGGGCATCTCGAACCCGCTGTGAGTGCGGAAATCCAGCGCCGCTTCGGATCAGGAAGGCTGCATAGCAGGCGCACAACGAGCTCCTCAAAAGCACGCCTCCCCCTCCGACGGCGGCAGGTAACAAAAGCACGAAGGATGACACGGGCGCGAGGCTGGCGGAGATAGAGGAGCTTATCGAGGCGACAAGAGCGGCGAGGCTGCCCCTCCTGCTGGGCGCGTCGAACCCGCCGGGGGCCATCGAGGATGGACAGGCGATCAACCTTGGCCTTGTGCTCGAGTCGGATGATGAGGAGATCAAGCGTGAGAAGTGGGCATCGCAACTCACTCGGCACGAGAGTGCGCTCAAGACTCTGGTTTGGCAGCAACGAGGATCCCATACGCGCTGCCACGGTGGAGAACAGCAAGGTCACTCGTGAGCAGCGAAAGGCGCTGCGGACGCCTGCGGTTGCGCCAAGGAAGACGGCCCACGACCTGCACAGCGCCCGCCCGCCGCGCGACGAGATGGAGGCCGAGATCGTGGAGAAGACATCGCAGGCACAGAGGCTCCAGGAGCCCCTCGCGGACGGAGGCTCCAGCCGGAGGCCGAGGAGGTTGAGAGCGGGACGCTCGGGCCCGAGTACATACGCAGGGCCACCCTCGTCGCCGAAAGCCGGCCCGGACGCGACGAGGCCAGGCAGGTGCTCAAGCTGGAGGTCGAGCCCGACGAGGTCCAGGACTCAGGCCTCCAAACCTTCTTGGCGACGGAGCAGTGGAAGCAGCTCCAGGGGGTCATCGCGGGCAAGATCTAGGCTGCAGCGGCTACCGGTGCCTTCGCTCGCGGCGGCGGTGATGCTGCGCGGCACCCCAATTACCCTGCTGGGGGCGACGTCGCTGCAGGTGATTAGGACACCACCATGGAACAGCTCAACGGCGACGACTGCGAGGCCCGTGCCAATGCGTTCCGCGCCGCGTCGACCGCCATCGGGCAGCCAGCGGAGCAAAGCAGCAGGCCGCACCCAAGCGCCAGATGGCAGAGACTGCGGCGGTTTGGGCATCATACGTCAGGATCAGCAGCACGTTTAACAGATTTCGACAGACGTTGGATCGGTCAAATAAGCCTTGGTTGTTTGGGTCGGCCTTCCGTAGCCCTGGCTCAAGCCGTCTGGGGGACCCCCTCGTCTCGAGGAGGCGTCCGACGCATCGCCTGGGCCGCGCGCCGGCCCCCCGCGCGCGCCCCCGCGGCGCCCCCCGCCTCGCGCCGCCCTCGGCCACTAGCCGCTGTGATCCGATCGCCGACGGATGGCGGCCGACACTTCGTTGGATGGGCCTATCCCTGAAACTCCCCCCCCGCCCCGCCCGGAGGTCTCCGAGTGGCAGCTGGTGGGACGGAGATGCCCCAGATCCTGCGCTCGCGGCCGCGCCAGGAGACGAGCAGGAGCAGGAGAGGAGGGAGGAGGTTCTGAGGTACGATTTTTTGGAAACAGGTGGCCCTATGCCCACCGCCGCGAGGGAGTCGGGCGAACATCGGGACGCGCAAGCCAGCACAGGGGCTGCCGCAGGCCCTGAATGTATGCATCCGACTGCGCGTACCTCAGCGACCGACATCCCGATCCCCACCCCTCCCCCCCAGCCGCACGAGGGGAGAGGCTCGGAAAGCGTAGTGGACTCTCGACGGACCCCCAGCCACCCACTCTCGTCGGACAGCTCGGGGCACCGAGGGGGCCCAGGGGACGAGGAATCTACGCAGCTGCCTAATGCCCCCCGTGGGAGCCATGCTCCACCGATCCCCTCCCCGTCCTCCCCACCCCACGTGCAACCTGAAAATGCGACCGTTAGTCGCCCTGATCCCGCGTGTGTCCCTGGACAGACAGACCTTCGGCAGCAAGGTGTCCTGATCCCTTCCTTCTTTCCAGTCTCACAGGCAAGTGCGACCGTTAGTCACCCTGATCCCCAATCCTCCCTTTCTCCGCCCTCTGATCACTCTGAATATGCGACCGTTAGTCGCCCCGATCCCAATGAAGGCCCTGGTCATCCTCACCCTACCTTTCCTCCCTCTCCCCAGGTGGAGGTGGCGACAGGTCACCCCGCTTCCCTGATCCACCCTCGCGGGTGCACCGACGACGTGGCCAGTTCCGCAACGCATGCGGTGGACATCACTGAGTCCCCCAGCTGCACAGAGATCATTTCGGGTAGAGACCTGGACGTCACTGCAGGCGGTGATAGGCCGACTGGAAGGAGAGGGGACCCCAGCCGACTGCGGACGACGGGGCAGCACAGTCACGACCCCTCAGAGCAGCCGACCATGCGGACCGATCTGACGGTTCCCCCTCCCACCTCCCACGGTGAGGAGGGTATTGGATCACAGATCAACGCCGATCGCTCGGCCTTCTCTACCCGCCCAGACACCACCTCTGGACCTGCTAACCCCCCTTAACGTGCCGCAGGATCCGCTCTGCCCCTCCCTAGACGGTACCCTCATCCCAGTAAAAGACGAGGGCGTCGAAGCGCGAGGCCCCCGCGACGACGCAGGCCCTGACGATCCGCTGGACAGCACAACAGCCGGAGGGCAACAAGACGCACCTACAGTCCGCGGAGACGAACCTGATGCAGTGGAGCGCAACCTTACGGCTGCTCCACCACGGCAGGCGCAGGATGAGTCGACGACCGACTCTGAACCCGCGCCCGCACCAGATCAAGCCACAGACGGCATCAAGTGGACCTGCATGATATGCAGGGCCCAAATCCCCGCTCTGCAGCTGGCCTGCGGATCGCCACGGCCATTTGGGACCCAAGGAAGACCATGCCCAGGAGTCCGCCCTGACCCTGGCACCCACTGGCGACTGCGAGGCAACGACGTGTGATGGCCGTGCCAGAGATGCCCCACGCTCACACCCATCACAGAGGTGCACTGCGCCCACTGTGACCACGGACAGCCACGGGACTTCGAACAATGGGGCCCTCTCGAGGATGAGGACGACCTACTATGGTCTCCCCGATCCCCCCACCAGAGTGCCGCCCTCACTGACACGACGAACTGGTTCGCGGAAGGATACCGCCAAGACCCGCCCAGCCACGACGCCCCACGCGGAGACGCCGAAGTGGCCCAGGGCGCTGGTATCTCTGCTAGTACGGATGTCGGAACTCCCCCGAGCGCACTGGGCGCGGCTGACGCTGCCAGGCTCCTGTGGTCACTGAGCGGCCACGACCGCGTGATACGGCGGGGCGGGAGAGAACCGCACGCCTACGAACTCCTCGCGATACGATTCGCGCACCTGAACCACGTCGTCCAACACGTACGCCCCGACTCGCTCGGACGATCCCCCGCGACGCGCGCTGAGCAAAGCATCGCCAACGCCCAGGCGCAAAACATGGAGGAAGCCGCCACGCAACTCAACATGGGGTTGCAGCCACAGCGAGCGGGGCAAGCTCTAGACCTATTTTCGCAGACCGGAATGGAGGCAGTCGCTCCCGACCGCACGCAGATCGGGACAGCGCTCATATGTGAAGGAAGACGTAGCAGGATGTCCTTCCCATCTACGCACAGCATGCTGACATGGGCACGCCTCACAGCCACGGGCGCCTTCCCTGACCTCGCGGTGGACGCCATAGGCGCAACACGTGCGGGTTTCCCTAAGGCCTGCACGGACACCATAGAACAACACCTGCGGAGCTCCAGCGACGTCCCATTCTTGCTGCCTAACGACAACGGGGTAAAAGACGTACACCTCACCACGACTGGACCGACCACGGCTACGCGGCCAGGGAGGGACCCCCCCCTCGTGCTGCCAGAAGGGTTCTTCCATCCCCACACACAGACCCAGTGCGACACCTGTGGCTCCTGGAAATTCCGTAGGGGCCCTATGGAAGGAACGTGCCCCGTCTGTCTCAGGTTCAGTCGTGCGGCCACGCAGAAAGGTGATGATGACGAAACTATCCACATTCAAGCAGTCCCAAGCGACTGGATACAAAGGCTCCCATTCGACTGCCTGGGGAACACGGCCCTCTCGGCCCTGGCTCATGCGGCGCAAGCCTTTGCACCACTCTGCTCACCAGGGGAAAGACAGCTCATCTCCTACACACCGTCCTGGCTCGTGGGAGAGCTGCTCGTAGCCTGGAAGTGGATGGTTGGCTCGGAAGATTCCCAATGGGCAAACCCCGCGGGGGGCGGCCAACACGGAGCCGCAGCGGCCCTCTCTGCACTCTGCGGATCAAACCTCCGATACGCCACGGACCTCGCCTACGTTATACGGGCACAGGCCATGAGGAATCGCGAACTAACCGCGTGGCTACCACAGGTCCT